GCAAATAAATATTCATCTCAAATATATCACACAGGACGTATATATTCATGAACTCTTTGCAAACTAGACACAAACAATGTAAACTAAGAATATCATTTACACTTTGTCTCTCCCGCATACACATATAATTCATGACATATTTATTTCAATTCTTCTCATTTTTTATTTTACTTGTTCTACTATGTTTGCATTTTTATGTAATATGTTTGATCCCTCCAACTATTATATCATTTTAAATCAAATGACAATTTGTTAGTAAAAAAACCGGAAAAACCGAAACCAACCCAAACACACCGAACAAGTTTCAAGTTTTGAAATGTAAAACCGAACCGAATTTTCTACTTTGGTTCCGTATTTGATTTTGGGTCAAAACCGAACCTTGATATCCGAACCCAACCCTATTATTAATGGTTTCTTATAGTTCGGGAAAACACTTCGCCTCTCTAGGCAACTAAATACGCAAAAGTTATACTACGTACCACCTAATTTTTTTTATAATCACGAAAGTTACTCCCTCCATCCTATTTTACATGTTCTATTTTCGTTTTTGGATTGTCCTAAAATATGTGTCACATTTCTTTTTTAAAAGAAATGACACATTTCCATTTTAGAAAAAAATGTGTGGTAAAAAAAAACGAAAAGCGAAGGGAGACCCTAGTGCCTAGAATGGTTTTGCGCGGCATTTTCACAGGTTCAAGGTGGAAGGCAGGTGTGTGAGCTAGCTCTCTCTAGACGACATCGTGGAATTTTTGCTACCAGGCAAAAGGCGACGAATGATCAATCGACGAGAGTAAGGCGAAAAGAATGGCAGATGACCGTACAGTGCAAAGCTAGAAGCATATGATCTACTTATGGGCTATGGATTTGAAGTTATTAACACTGAGGCCAGATGGCAAGATGAACAAAGAAGATGGAGTTTTGGTTGTCCGTCTCCCTCCTGAATCACCGCCTTGGGGTGACCGCGTGACTAGAGTTTGGAAGATGATGCTTCAAGGTTGGGTTGGGCCACCTGCGATTTCATGTGCTATTTTTATTTCAAGCTTTATTTTTCTTTCATTAGAACTTTTATCTTGGTTTTGGTTTTGATTGTGTTAATGACGTTCTTGAGATGTTTAAGGTCGTTATTGGCCTTGAAGCTCCCTTATGTTCAGCGAAAAATTTCTCGCTCTATTTTGCGTGAACTTTTCTATGTCTGATCAGTGATTGAGGAACCTTTTCAGCTATTTTGAGATTTTTTGAAGTGGGAAAGAGTACGGTGACCTTAAGGGTAAAAAAGTACTTTATGTTATCCTTTTGGTGGTCAGCGATTCATGCTGCTTCTTTGGAGGTGACCGTCTCAAAATCTGATCGTATAGCGTTTCTTGAGTCTAGATGGAGTCTATGAAAGAATGTTGGTAAAGCTTTGAGCTTTTTTGGCTAGTTGTAACTACAAATGTTTGATTTCTTTAATATAGTTTTCCTTTTAAAAAATGTGTGATCTACAACATTCACTTTATTATACTCAATTCTCATACAACTATTTTATTTTCAACTTTTTTTATTAATAATTGTGTCAAACTAAAATAAGACACATAAAATAAGACAAGAATAATATTCCCTCCGTTCTTTTTTATTAGTCCCCTTAGGGTTTGGCACAGGATTTAATAATAAAGTAGTAGGGTAAAGATAAAGTGTGTAAGGTAAATGATAAAGTAGGAAAAATGATATATTAAAAAGAGTAAAGTGATGATAAAGTAGGAAAGATAGTGTATTAAGAAGAGTAAAGTGATGGTAAAGTAGGAAAGAGAAAGTAGTTTGTAAAAAGTAAGCGGGGTAAAAGTAATAAAAGTAGGGGTATTTTCTAAAAAACTTTCCTTAAAGGGAAATGAGACAAATAATAAAAACGTCTCAAAAAGGAAATAAGAACTAATAAAAAAGAACGGATGAAGTATAATTTAAAAAAGCACTAGAAAATACTTAGTATTATCAAGACGTCGGGAAAAGGTGCAAATAGGCCCATGTACTAACCAAAAAAGGTCAAATAAGCCCTTATTTAGGAGACTCTGTCCGGCCGTCGTCATTTGGGGTGGTTCCCGGTGGAATTTTTTGATGATTTTTTTTAGCATCTTATTCATCATGTCTAGTTTACTCATACCAAATTTCAGCTAAAACTTCAATGGGGAAGACATTCAAATGAATTCTTGAAGATAACTGCGCAGTTATTTTCAAGAATTCATTTGAATGTCTTCCCCATTGAAGTTTTAGCTGAAATTTGGTATGAGTAAACTAGACTTATTGAATAAGATGCTCAAAAACTTTCACCAAAAAATTCCAACGGGAACCACCCCAAATGGCGACGGCCGGACAGAGCCTCCTAAATAAGGGCTTATTTGACCTTTTTTGTTAGTACATAGCCTATTTGCACCTTTTCCCTCAAGACGTCTGAGTCAAAATAAGTATGGAAACGAAAACAGGGAGTTGGTGGTAAAGGTGCTATAGTTTGTGATATAGGTGGCCGTGGGCCGTGGCAAGGGGATTTTCTACTCTGGGATGGAGTGCATAATACGGAGTGCTAAATATTCGTGTGTTGGAGAATTGCTAGCTTGGACTTGAAATTTTGTGTCACAATCTCACCAACTTTGTGTTATAACGAGTCCAAGAATATCATTTATTCCCATCATCAGGTCGGTTATAATCTCAATTTATTCCTATCGATAAACTCAATTTATTATCCATTCATCATCATTCTTTCCTGCAATTCAACACCACCACTATATTCACACATCACATTTTTTAATTTTATTAGTATACATCAATTTTTCATAATATGTTTTTTTGTGAATAATTATGATTTAAAAATTAACTGTTGGAATGTAAAATTAATTACATTTAGAGTTTGCTTTTTGTTGTTGTCACATCAAACCTATTTTTGAAAATTTCAAGAAAAATTTTGGATAAAAAAAGTTCATCATGTGGAATTTCATATTCTTATAAACATCGTATATGTAATGCTGGTGTTACATGAAAGATCACAAAAAGTTATAAATTGTGATGTACGTTTTATAAAAATGGGAGTGCAAATAAAAAACTTAAATTCATGTTTTTGTCTTCATTCATGTTCTCCCGCGTAGCTCAACGAACTCTTATTCTCTCTTGTTTTTTATTTGGGAAAACTATCAAATAAGCCCCCGTACTATGTCGAAAAAGTCGATTAGGTCATCGTACTTTACAAACACTCAATTAAGTCCTCGAACTATTAAAAAACGTTCAATTAAGCCCTTTCGGTCGGTAAGTAACTGATTTCCCGATTAAACGGTGACGACGGCGACGATGTGCTCGAACCCCAGCAATGGCGGGTGCCGGGAAACGGGTTACATTTAACCGGGAAACCGGTTACTTACCGACCGAAAGGGCTTAATTGAACGTTTTTTAATAGTTCGAGGGCTTAATTGAGTGTTTGTAAAGTACGAGGGCATAATCGACTTTTTCGGTATAGTACGGGGGCTTATTTGATAGTTTTCCTTTTTTATTTTAGCCCCTTTGGGTCTTTGAATTGACCTCCTCTTACTTCTTAAAGGGTTGCACACTCTATACGGATTGAAAAGAGTAAATTCCCACTTATAGGCACTACCAAAAAAAATCGCCAGAGGGTCGGATTTTGGCACGGAGAGCTTCATTGAAATCCCAGACTAGCGCTGTTGGCTCGGATTTGGCACGGAAACGAAATCCGTCCCACCTGGCTCGTGCCAAAATGGTTTGGCGCGGCTAATTGCATCCGAGCCAAGGCTTGTCGCGGATTTAGACACGGAATAATCCGGGCTAACCTACCTGATAATTCACAGCCATTTTGGCTCGGATTTCAATAGGCACGGATATTGGCTCGTCATCTACCGGGTCACCCGAATTTTTACCCGGGTATTTTGGCACGGAAACTCTCGAGCCAAATTATGACACTGCAATTTAGATATTTTGAGAGGATTCTTGATACGGCTAACTCCGTGCCAAATTTTAATTTATAAAAAAAATTTACACCGTACATATGTACGGGATACCGTACATATGTACGGTGTACATTTTTTTAAAATTAAAATTGTTATAAGCAGCATAACATTAAAACAGAAGCATAGACATACGAACATCACAAGCAATATAGAGCAAATTAAAAGGCATATATAACAAGAAAATGTAAAATTATTACAGCAGTACAGGCAGATAAACCACTGCCGAATAAGATGTCAAAATGGCAAACAAATTGCCAGAAGATGTCCAGAACATGCAATAAAATTAAAAGTGTTTGTTCATTACACAAAGATGTCTTCCAGCCGCACTTCAAGAGTATCATTGAGATTCATTTGGGTAGAGGTCGGGGTACGAAAAGGCGAGAAATCTGGCATCGGGACATTAGGGTTCAAGCTACGGACTTGTTCCATGTACGTCGTAAACACGGAAGTCATCTTCTCCATCTGGCTTTGCCACTGCTTCTCCTGCTGCACAAATCGGGCCTCCAGCTGGTCCTTGATGCGGGAATCTATTTCCTGCTGAGTCGGCCCCGATATTCTGCTGGAGCATTCAACGTCTTCCATCGACTCGGCTTCAGATCCCGTCCCAAACCGCCTGCCTTTGTACAGCGGGACCACCTTACAGAACAGCTCGGAGTCATCCTCATCATAAGACTTCCCTTGTGATTCAGCCAGCGCCTTCATTTCACTATACTTTTGCTGCACAAACAGAAAATTATTGTTAAAAAATATTTCTTCTATATTAACATAATAATTAAAACATATAACAAAAGTATATGTTTCTTTACCTTTGTTTCAACAACACGTGGTGGGGGGTCACCCGACTTCGGGACATACACCTTATCGAACACTTCGATCTTCAACGGAGCCCTATTCAACTGCTTAGTCTACAGATTTATAAGTACAAAATATGATTAAAAGTAAAAACAATGATCATTGAATTATAATTCAAAATAATAACAGAAACTTACCAGCCTTTCAACATGCTTCGTCACCGGTATCCTGCCACCGCGATACTGTGATTCTTTTCCCGCTTTAGAGTTTCGGTTCTTCTTCCCAACTTGGCTCTTCTTCTTAAAAGCATCAGAGGCCCAATACTCTTGCAACAACTGCCAATCTCCGTCACCAATCCAGTCAGGCTTCTTGTTGTCCCGCCTAGCCCTACCAATGTTCTTGCTCAACCATTCAGAGGCCCGAGACTTGAACTTCTTTTTCATTTTGGTATTAAAGCAGGCATCCCACTCATACTTCCTCTGAATAAACAAAACAAAAAAATGAGCAACATCAGAACTCCCGAACTGTCTACAATCAATCTAAAATGACAGTGCTTACACAATAAGAACCTATAACATACCTGAAACAGTTTCCACCAACGGTTTCGTTGATCAGCATCAGCATTCATAAAAGAACGCCATGGACCGTGGAAATTGTTAGTCAGGATTGAAATGATGTTGTTCAGGACAGTAGGTGTCACGCCCCGGACCTACCCGGACACGTCAACAATCCGCCGTACAGTATGAATAGTCAACCGCAGTCTAACACATCCGTACTATACAAGGCGTCTGGAATATCATTCACACATAGTACATCCATAAACAAACATAATGTAAAATATTCATTAAAGCAGCGGAAACAATATTACAAGTGTTCAAGCCACACTTGGCAAACTTGGGCATACAAGCCCTCAATAATTTATTAGAAAATATTATCCATGAGCATCATTGTAATTGTTTTGAAAACAGAACGGAGGAAGCACGAACCACGTCTTCTCTCCAAGAATTCCCGAAGCAACGGGTACGGGAAGCAAGCTCTAGCTTCTACCTGAAAACTGTGAGGTGGCCTCCCCCGTGAAGGGGAGGTCAGTACTTTGAAGCATTTGAAAAGTACAATGACAACTATACTGCATATAATTAATGTTTCAATCCTTAAGACCCTCAACATAGGTGTTATCATAATACTAGGAAATAACCCATAGTTACCCCTTTCAAATCATACATAAGTATATATCGTCAAATAGTCGGCCCATAGGCCCATTTGTATTTTGTCAAAACCCTTTTGCATCGCCATGCGATATTTTATTTCCCCGTTTGTATTTAATAATACAATTCAAATCGCTCTGTGATAATTCAAAATATAATCTGTATCGCCCTGCGATAATTTAAAAATACAATTTGTATCGCCCTGCGATAATTCAAAAATACAATTTGTATCGCCCTGCGATAATTTGAAAATACAATTTGTATCGCCCTGCGATAATTCGTATTGCCCTGCAATAATTCATACAGGACCTGTCACCGCTATCCAAGTCTCCATGGAGCACTCGGTCGGAGTCCAGCATCCTGCCCCTGGACTCATACCCTGTTCCCGTAGGAAGGTAAGGCCCATTCGGGGTCCTATCTTATGTGTTACCGCTGTCAAAGCCTCGCAAGGTCTTTGATTCGGATTCCACCCTTATACGTGATCACGCTGTAAGTCCATGCTATCCATCTCGCTCTCTAGAGCCAAGTAGGGCCATGGTCCTTACATCTATCCTATTGTGGGCCCATGCAGTCCGGCACGATCCTCAGACTCGTCCGACCCATGACCCTCATCTATCTATATTAGCAAGTTCATGGGGTCGGGCATCTATCCTTAGACTAGAGCCGAGCCATGACCCTTGCTACCAATCAAACAACCAATTACGGGTATCCTAAAGACCACCCGGATAATAATATCAACAATCCAATCCTAGGATAATTATATCATTTAAATCATCTAAGGCTATCCCAATTGAATACCCTAGTGACGAAGCATCACAATCCTAAACTTAGGATTAATTTATAAATGTTCATATTATAACCTCGGACTAGTCATTTAGTATCACCTGAGTTATTCTTAGTTCAAATTCTCTTTCCCTTTTAAACAAACGTGGCGGCCATGCCATAACTCATTCTCACTCCATTCTATATTGACTTTACTAACCATAAAATCAATATAATTAAATAGTGATTAATAAAAACATTTTATTAGTTCATCACTAAATCAACTAGAACAACTTCTCAAACATATCAAGTAATCATGCTCCAATTTCTCATACCCCAATCAATCATGCATCAACTCTTCATATACAACAATATGATCAATTGACACTTTACTTGGCATATTAGTTAATTAAAATCATGCTTTTATAACATTATGTAATCTCATGAATTAACCCACTAGTTATAAACAATATAGTCAGCCATCCTCACCTTATGATGTGCTCAACTAGTTGCCTTTGCTAAGCCCTTCGATCAATCCCCGTTCTAGGCCAATTGAAAGTGAAAATTCTGGACAGCAGACAAAAGGTGGGCGGCTTTGGCAAAAGGTGGGCGGCTTTCGGGCCTGCAGCTCGAAAACAGTCCCCAACAATGGCGGTTTTCCGGCGATTTCAACTCCTATCGATTCCACAACTCTTCTAAGTTAAATACCACCACTTTATATCAATATTATACACTTTTAAATGTGTAGAACTCTTGGTTTAATCCACTATATGATTTCTTAAAAATCATATGAATACAAAACTAGTTAATGAAGCCTTTTGGGTTCTTACCTCAATTCCTAGCCTTTTGTGTTGGGTTTTTCCTTCCCTCTTGCTTTCTCCTAGATTGAGCTTTGTGAGAGCTTTGGTTTTTCTTTGAGCTCTCCCCCTTGTGTTGGCCGAATGAATGCAAGAGTGGTAGAGGGAAGATTCCTCTCAATCAACACAAAACAATTGTGAAGGATATGACATGGGGGGTATAGGTTTTGTCTCAAAGAGGCCTCCCCTTTCACTCATCCGCACCAACCATTCTTGGTTGCCCCCCTCCCCATTATTTGAGAGCCTAGAGTGTGTAGAATACTCCCAAATGGGTGTAGGAAACTCCTCCCAATTATTGTTGTTATTTCTGGCAGGTTGGGTCAAAATAGTACTTGGGTTGTCCAAACATTTTCCTCAACTTTAGTTGGCATTTTATTGGGCTTCTATAATTATTATGATGACCCAACTAAATATTTGGTAGCCCGCTCTCAGTATCATGGGCCCGATAAATAATTTAATTAATCATTCATTAATTAAATATATCGTTCTTGCACACAAAAATATTCGCATAGAAAATTCAAATACGTATTGAATTTCAAATTCAAGTACATCCGGATGCGGTGTCACAAGTTCACCCCCCCTTAACGGGAATTTCGTCCCCGAAATTCGCAACGATACTCAAAAGCATACGAAGTAGTGCCCTATTCTTAGAACCATAATTTCCTGAGCCTCCACTTCGACTCAAATTCATAACCAAAGTCTTAACCATTGGAAACCCCCATGCTTCTCAATTTTCTCACTTGTTTATCCAATATCATTGTTGGTTGTCCAACATAGTTCCCATTATCCACTCTTCTGTACTAATGGTGTCTCCATGACACGAGATGAATTTTGAACATGCTCTTTAAGCATTGATGTAAAGAACTCCATATAGTATCATTTCCAATTCTGGAGTCAATCATGGTTGGTATAATATGGCATTAATTCTTTCTAGAATTTCAGCTAGCCCGATGTAGTGTAGATTTCATTCACCCTTTCATAAGGATACGACAGTTCCTAAGATGTTAAAATTTCAAAACACCTTACCTTTGATTCCAGCTTAATAGATCTTCGTCCTTCTTTGGCACGAATCTCTCGTTTACTTTAAACAAAACTTTGGTTCAATCTGAACCGATGTCACATCTCCCTTAGTAAACTCTACTACTCTTGTACGTCAGAGATCGGTTGTCCCAAACTCGACTTAGCGTATGGGTTTCTAACATCTCTATCCATACCAACACTTGTGTGTAGGCATGTAATACTAATCTCATAACTTCTCTTTTTTTTTTTTTTTGCTAACTGCATGAGTGCTTAATGTCAGCCTCATACCAACTTAATTGTCATCATTGTCCTTCATGAGAATTTAAGGGACATGCCCCGACATGCCCTTCCAAAGTATGTGTAACCATTAATGTAGTTCATCATTCTATGAATGAAATAATGTTCAATTCATCTAGTTAGCGCGGTACTCAAAAGTACACGGTGAAATCTCTAGGTTTCACTTACCTACAGTGTGCCTATCTTCTCAGTTTGATAGGTTGTGTCTATAGATAGTGGCTATGTACTCTTGTCAGTCCATCAACCACGACCCAAAACTCCATCATAACCTTTCACCATCATGGTGGCCGCGACACAAAATCTGTAATAAATGGTTACTACTACCACTCATGAATACAAGGTGGATGTAACAACATACCCAAGTGTTAGTGTACTACCTTAACTTAATAGCAAGTAAGGTATCCACCCTAACAATATCCTTCATCAAAATCACATACATAACGAACCTTACCAGTGTATGACATGCGTTAATCAATGAGCCCCTGAAATGATCTTTCAAAGCTCACCATCTGACGCTACACAATCTTGACTGCAAAACAAAAAGAGACCATCACCTCTCCCTCAGAATTTCATCATATGCTGAGTTCTCTTTGATTTCACCTGCTAGGATGGTTCTCATCCCAAACTCGCCACTCAATCGCTCTCCACTTCTATGTGGGTACTAATTGTTATTATGTTATTCAGTAGTAGCTCGATCAGGTCCTTTTGTATAAGGCATTTGTTACAAAATTTGGCATACATGTACAATACTTTATCACTAGATGGTAGTTTTCCAACCCCCCATCCATCACCGCAGTCAAGCGCTCAACTCTTTTGGAGTGAACACTTACTTCAAACTCTTATAGTCAGATTATATATATGACACATCTCCATGTAGAGATAATCTTTTCATTTCTTTAATGACTTACTAGAGCCCCCTACCATTATTCAAGAGTAGAGAAATTTACTTTTTTTTTCCACAGAAGTGAAACACGTGCAATCATCTTCCCTGAGATGTTTGTCTAACTTTAGTGTAACACTTGAGATTTAATATAAACGGATTAATAGTACTACTCATACCAACAGAGGTGCATCTCCTTTTAAGGGAGCTCATTAGCCAAGAACTCCAAAGTTAAGCGTGCTTGCACGGGAGTAGTCTTGGGATGGGTGACCCCCTGGGAAGTTTCTCAGGACGCGCATGAGTGAGGACAAAGTGCGCGGTAAAGGCTTGTGGTGGTTTGTGAGGACAGTACTAGAGATCTAGAGTAACTACCTCGAGTCTTGCGGGGTCGGGGTGTTACAAATGGTATCAGAGCAACCCTGCGACAGTATGCTGACCCGTTGGATATCGGGCAGACACTTAGCGGGGGAAGATTATGGGATTTGACTGAGATTTGAGATTGGTTTATGGGCGCAACGAGGACGTTGCGTTCCTAACTGGGGGTGATTGTAACACTTGAGATTTAATATAAACGGATTAATAGTACTACTCATACCAACAGAGGTGCATCTCCTTTTAAGGGAGCTCATTAGCCAAGAACTCCAAAGTTAAGCGTGCTTGCACGGGAGTAGTCTTGGGATGGGTGACCCCCTAGGAAGTTTCTCAGGACGCGCATGAGTGAGGACAAAGTGCGCGGTAAAGGCTTGTGGTGGTTTGTGAGGACAGTACTAGAGATCTAGAGTAACTACCTCGAGTCTTGCGGGGCCGGGGTGTTACATTTAGACACCGTACACTAACCCACGAATGGATAAGACAGGTATTGGTGCTTGAGCAAGTCTTTTCTTTGATTCCATGAATTCATCCTCATAAGGGTCACCTCCCTGCAACTTAACCCCACCTGAGTAAGTTACGCTAACGGTGATTCCAGCATAGAGGACTCATTCACCAACTTCTAATAGTGTCCGTCGTATCAAATGAAACTACGTACTAGTCTCGTTCACCTCCTTGGGCTTCCAGCACTCCGAGATGGTTTTAAGTAGTAGTACTTCAGTAACAAATACACCCCCAATTACATGTAGTGCCCGTACCGAGTGCAAAAATCACTCCTAGGCATGTCACCCCTCCAAATGTTAGATAACTACAATCTAGTCATAGGTCCATTTCGATAATGTCATTGCTTCTTTAGGCGGTCGATCACGTCATCAATACCCTATAAGGATATATTCCCTTGATTGTGACCTTTCCCCTTTCTGGGAAATCATACAACTCCAGGATTCCTCATCCACCGTTTATGCAATTTGAACCACTACTCTCCCCGGGGAGTGGCTTGATCCGACCATTCGTATCCTAATATTGATCACAATTTGATTCTTAGTTTATCATTAACCTTCCAACATGTTTGCGTGGAAGTCACCCTAGCATGATGCTTTTACGTCTAATCCCTTTCAAGGATAGTCCTTAGCTCATTCATGTGTCATGGTATGAGATCACACTAAGCATTCTCTACATACTCCCATGTACCAAAAGAAACACATAAAGATCTTGTCTTAGATTCGTTCTATAATAGTGTGGGAATAAATCGTTTTATAACCTCAACATCGAAGGTACGCTTGCTACCCTCGTCAAAAACCTCATTCACTATTCATCGTTATGCTTTAGTCTTGATAAATATTTTCGCGTCTTCTTCCCAATCTTTAGTGTTCCCACATTTGTAATCGACGTAAGGTACATTCCCTACCCAATAGGCCTGTTTCATAAGTCGTAGGGTACACCTACTAGGGTGTAGATGGTAGTAGTCCCACGCTCCATCGCGACCCGACCAGTTCTTGCTCTTAAAAGCAACACCGCGTACAACAAGGTGAAAGCCGGCCGCTTTTAACCAAAGCCGGCCGGTCTCCGTCCATTGGCCAACATCTCAGAACTGGTCGCTATGAAAGCTGGGCGCTGTTTACGATAGTCGGGCGGCTTTCAGCGCCGTGGAATTTCCCATTAATTACATCCCAAACGCCGGCCGCTCTTCGCAAAGGCCGGCCGGTTTCCGGCCGCGTAGGATTTTGCCCACAAAACAAACGCCGGCCGGTTTCAACGAAAGCCGGACGGTATCCAGCGCCGTAGATTTATTCCAAAATTAAATTACAAAATCCGGGCGGCTTTATCGAAGCTCGGACGACTTTTGCGACCAACCTCCTTCCCACAAGGACTCATCACCGTATGCCGGCCGGGTTGCACACATGCCGGCCGACTTCAGCGCCGTAGAATTTTTTAATTAATTCAAAGACAAGGGCCGGTCAGCTTCCGTCAACGTCGGGCGGCGTTCGCCCAGGGCTGGTATACTTCCCTCCTTTTTGATCCACAACAGGCTCGGTTGGTCGGGGTTATAAAATTTAGACACTCCCAAGACTTCTATTATTTACATAAGAATTAATATTAAGAGTTTATGAAAGATTACCTTCAATAGGGTTGGGTTTCTTCCCGAGCATCTACCGATGCAATTGGATTGACCGAATCTTGAGTTTCTCCCTCGATCACGAAGGATGACTTGCCTTTCATAACCCTCCATCTCCCGTGCTTGGATGAGATGTTCTTGCTTGGCTTTTGCCTCCCGAGGTTCCACCATCAACCCTTGTGGCTTGTTTTCGCCCGAGTTGGGGGCATGCTACCTTCATATGCCCTACCTCCCCACATTGGTAACATTTAGGAGGATCCCAACACCTACCCATGTGGTTTTTCTTGCAGTTTCTGCATCTAGGTTTCGCCGAGGCTCGTGACCCTGAGTTTTGCCCGAGTTGTGGGCACGTTACCTTCATATGTCCCACCTCCCAGTATGGGTAACCTTTTGGGAATTCATAATTTTCCTCAACGTAGTTTTTCTTCTCCATTA